TTTGGAGTGGCTCCTCGTTAATAGTTTTCACATGGCTAACCCATTTTGAAATGGCAAACAGGAGTATAGAACTGAACCATTTGAACGTGAGCCATACTATGCTTGCAGAGTTTTTTGAAAAAATAGTTTGTATTGGCAGCTGGAATACCCTTTCTTACCCTTTTCAGAATGGTCATGCCAATGTAATAATCATCAACAAACTGAGGCAATGGGATGACTGCTTCTGATACTGAACTGATTGTGCAGTCATTGACAATGTTTACTACCTATATAAATGGAAGGAATCTCTTACTAATTGTGATCCAGCACTGTCTGAATAATATGGAAATATTTTCTGCACTCATAGCCTGAAAAAGAGAGTTCAGATTTTTCTAAAAGCTACAGGTAAGTTAATGACCATGAATATCTGTATCTTTGCTTCTGAGATGGAAAATTAAGCAGACAGCTTAGACAAGCTTAGACAAGCATGTCTTTTTTCATTGATCAAGATTTTCAAAATGCATATTATTTCAGGTGGAAAACCTGCATAAGGCTCTTCAAAAGAAAGAAAGGTTGAAGAAGTATAAGGGATATTCTGAAAATAAGTTTCTTTAAAGCATTTAAGATTGAACTGTTGGAAAAGGTTTGGAACTTGGTTTAGTAATATTTTTGAATGATACCTGTGTCATTGCTTTGGCTGCAAACTATTTCACAGCAAATAAAGGCTTTAGAAGACTTTTTTTTTTATCCTAATCAAAATGATATGCAGGTACATTTGAACTATATATCAAACATTGTCTGAGAGTGGGACTGCACAACGCTATCACAGAAATCCGGTGCAATAGGTTAAAAAAAAGTGTGACCATAGCTCTGCTGGGAACAGAGGCCAAGGCCTTTAGAAGCTGTAGAGATTAGCTTCTTTTTGCTTGATTTGGGTTTGGTCATTGCTGCTTCTGTTGGATTTAGCATGGATAGTTTCTGGAATACTTGATCTAGAAGACTTTTTTTTTTTTTTTTTGGAAAGAGCTTTTTTTTTTAGGTATCATAGTCCAACTAAGAGCAGCATACAGACATGCAGCTATACTGTACCACCCTGAAAACCTTGTGGGTTTATACAAGAAAATGTAAAATTCAGAGATGCAAGAAACATTTCTTATTCCTCCCCTCTCCCTCATGCAGTTCTTTAAGAGCAATTAGACTAAGGAAAGAAGTCTTTTTTTGAACCTTTGGCAACTAAATCATAGCTGGAAAGGACATAAAGGACATGTTTCAGCATGTGATGTAGCATATTTTTGTTTTCTCTCTGTGGTCTGGTGTAGGACATTAGATCAACCACTTAAAAATCCTGATGGATTGCCTATCTATGGAATAGAAGGTCAATGACAAAAAGGACTTTAAAACTTTTGTTTAACATACATGCTTTCTTGTTTAACTTTTATTTGTATCCACCCTATTTAATAATTACTATCATCTTTATACTAAGTTAATTATCCAACAATGAAATGAATCACCATCTGTGAGGTTCCGCTTCAGTTTTTGTTAGCGCAATGCAGTCAGCCCCAGTTGGAGCCCACCTATAGTTTTGATGGTGTGCTCTATCCGCCTGCAGATAGAGTACCCCCTCCCTGACTGATAAAAAAAGGAGAACAGATCCATGATCCTTGAGCTTGGACAAGGCACAATGGAGGCACGGTAATGGTCAACCAAATATGTACTTTTTATTGGTCACAACTCCTGAGGGTAACAGCCTGGCACAAGGAGTGAGAAAGAGAGGGGAAACAGAGAAGAGCGAGAAAATAAGCAGAAATGAGGAAAGCAAAAGTAGCAATAGCCACCACCCTGGATCCCACAGAGTCCCGTGGGTCCCTCGTTGATGATCCTCAGTAGTCGGTTGTGGGGTTGCACATGCAGGTTCTTGAATGGCTGTGTTTTATGGCAACAATTCTGCTGTGTCATTCTGCTGCGGTTGGTGGGCACCAATCACCTTCGCACATAGGTGCTTCAGTATCTAGGAAGAGGTGTGATCTTTCAGTGCTTCTTAGTGAGCCTCCTCCTCTTGGAGCTTCAGGCCATAGAAGGTGAGACTTAAGATGGTGGTGGATTTTCTGAAACATTGAAAAAAATGGTGGAGCCAAGTCCTACAGCCTCTTGGACCCCTCTTCCTTCCAGGACCACATCATAAGATTCTTCTTGGGCAGACTAAATTCTGCTCTCCAAACAGAATTATGACTTTGCTTTTTGCCCTCCTCACTGGATCCTGATTTTTACCATTTTGTGATCACTGCAGCTAAGCCTATGCCTCACTTCCTTATCTCCAACCAGTTCTTCCTTGTTTGTATGCATGATATCCAAAGTACCTCATTTCCTCAGTTTCTTGGTCAGTTGTGTTAAAAAGTTGGCATCAATGCACACCAAAAATTCCCTGCATAGCTTGTGCCCTATTCTGTAGCCCATCCAGCCAATATCAGGGTGTTTGAAGGCCTGTGAAAATAAAGTTTATTTAATTTCTCTGAAGCATACCTCATCTATTTCTTCTGCCCAAAGAGAAGCAGCATTATCTACAGCAGACCCCTATTACATGGTCACCCAGGCTGGTTTCCCCACCAATCCTAACCCATGTAGGTTATGTAAGTTACATAGCTCTCACCTTGCCCCAAAGTGCATGCATTCCAGATACTCTTTCAAATATTTCTCCTCACACTTGAAACAGTTTGCATTTTAAACAAGAGCCTAAATTTTGTCAAGCTTAACTTGATGGCTTTAAGGAAATACTTCAGCTACTGCCTTTCAGATCATATTCATTTAATTTCTTCTGCAAAATCTAAGTTGACAGCAGGCACACTTTTTTCGTACTCTTCTTCCACCACAGTTGTCTGCCTTCTGACAATATAAAGACAACTAAGGTCACTATCCCATGATACTAAATCCTTGCTGTTGAAGGGACCGTGTCTGTATTACCAATAATTTAGGCCATTAGGGATAAAAATCAAAAGACTATTTTGCTCTTCTCATGAGTTTGAATGATAGTGAGTGTACTAAGATGTCACAGCAGAAAAGTCTGGCAGATAACTGCTCTACAAGTCAGTTGGTGACCACTGTTCAAACAACCTACATAAAACTTTCTCCAGGAAAGCAATAGTTATTCCATGTCAAACTTTTGACGCTTCCCAGAGAGTTCAGTGTTCCGACCTACAGTAATGTGGGACTCAGTTCCCTAAATACAAGTTTTATGACAGACAAGATGACCCAAGGTATCTAATTTGGTCCCTAGATTCTGGTCCAGAAAAGTTAGACATGTCAGTCATGTTTTATTTCTGAAAATAGCCAAAAAGACCAGACATCTTATACTGCAAAACAGGAAAAGAATTGCCTATTAAGAGCAGAACAGGTAGATGTTTCTGTAATATTTCTTGTGATTCTATGAACTTTGACAGCAGGAACTACTTTCCCAAAATAGTCATTTATTTCAAAGCCATCTGGCAAATCATAAGACATTCATCAACATAATAATGCCAATTATTCTGGAATTTAAAAATGTACACACAAAAAGCAACGTAGACTTGAATACCCTTCTAGGATTATTTTAACTGCTCTACAAGGTTCAAGAAATTACTAGAAATTATGAAGAGCTGCAGAGGTCTAACATGGGGAGAAGGAAGTATACTTAGTTTCCCTGTAAATCCAGGGCTTCTTGTTGCTGAAAATAGGATTTGGACCAGAGGCTTGCTCTGGAAGCATTTCCTTTTTGACACCCCATCAGCATTTTGTCTATTGCATATTCTATCTATTAGGAGAGGAGCAACAAATGATTAGTACCAGTCTGAGGGTTCACATATACTCAGTGGGTCGGCATTAATATCACCTATGCATACACCTGGATAGAAGAGGGGACAGACTGCCTCAGCAAAGATGACATCAAAAGTGTAGATATGAGAACGGTTAGTCATGTTATAAAAGGAGACTTTTCCAGCTTCATAGTCAAGAAAGATTCCAACACGCTTTGGTTTAACATTAAGCAGCAGTGGGGTAAAGGGGGTGGTCATGGCCACATATTGTTCATTCCATAGACGCACCCTCCAATAGCCCAACTCCTGCTTGGGGTCTTGTACATTGGAACTAGCAGACTCATAACAAACACCCAGAGCCCAGTGGGTTTTGTTCCCTACTTCAACCTCCCAATAGTGGCGGCCAGAAGAGTAGGAAGATGATCCCAGCACACAGGGGTATGTAGTGAAACGCCGAGAACTGTGTGGCAGCTCCTGGGGGATGTCAATGAAATAAACACTCTTCAGATTCTCCGAGAGTACCAAATTGGGATGAGCTGTCTGAGGGTCCAGAGTCACATCTCCTGTGGCAGAGCAGAGACCATATATGAGAAAGCAAGGAAAACCAAGGTGGAGGGAGACATGGATTCTCACACCTCACCCCAGAAAAAAAATCAACTGGAGAAGAGCAATTACACAGCCGTTTGTCCATTCACAAGGCAGCTGGGGATCTGTGAGACCTCCACACCCCATATCCTCCCCATACCACAGGTTCGAGTTGCCTTCTCAGAGTCCCTACCCCAAACCATCTTAGCTCTATGCTATGCTCCCTTTCTCCTGAAGTTACCTTCCAGTTACCTTCCTTTGCTAGTCTACACTAGGCTATACTTCACCCCTGCAGCTCCACTCTACCAACAACACTGGGATCAGAGGTCCCTTCTGCTCTTAGGCAAAGTAACAGGGGTACTCTTGAGCACATGTACTAATATAACAGAATTTCTCCACAGAGAGGCCCACAAATGAATCTTCAAGCCCATTTATTGGGGTGACCAACAAGACAACCATTTAAAAGAGCAGTCAAGTTTAGTCACTTCAACATTTTAAATGCCAGGCCTGGGCATACAGATGAATTCACTGCTAAACAGAAGACACTTTTTGGAGCCAAGGACTGAACTCAAGTCCCAGTTCTCCTCTATATAGTTCTAGTTCTCCTCTATATAACTATATATAACCTAGTTCTCCTCTATATAACTTAATTACCTGTGTACTTCTTCAGCATTTTCTTAAGGTGAAATAATGGCCTAGGGAAATAGGCCATTGACCTCTTCAGTTCAACAGAGACAGAAGGCAACTCCAGATTCTTAAAAGTTTCATACCTAGGGGAGGAAAAAAAGGGACCTTACCTAGAAAGTGTTTTTTTTTTTTTTCTTTTTTTTTCTTTTTTTTTTCCCCTTGAAAGCAGGATTAGAAGACACCATTCCCTAATACAAAACACAACAGTTGCTTCTAGGAATTATTGCTCTGCTAAGATTGAAATGGTGGAAGCTTACTGAAAGTCTATATGCTCCCTGAGAAAACACAACAGGAAAATTTTAAGGGAAAGAAGCTGACAATGCAGATTAGGCCCAGAGTCTGTATAATTATCGTGGTCTGAGAAAAGGCAAAGGACAGATGAGAACGCAAGTATTGCGGGTTTTGTTTTCCAGGTGTATCATTCTGTTATAGTGCAATGCAGGCAGTCTCCTAACAACACACCGAAATAATGGCATATTAACTCCAGAGGAATGAGCACTCCTACCACGCAACTGCATCTTCAACTACTAATGGCTTCTTCCCTATCTCATCTCCTCCCCCACTCCCAAATAGATTAGAAGGACACCTCACCTCTGCAAGACACTTTGCATGTCCTAGAAAAGAGGAGGAAAGGCAGTAAGTAAAATTGCACCAAAGAAGCCTCCCATCAACCTACATATTTTAGGGTGTGCCTGCATTTCCAGAAATCCTCATACCTTTAGTCCTGGGTTTTTTCTAACCCAGAAGTCATTAATTTTGCCAATTATTCTGTTGAGGAATGGAAAGAAAGGCACCATCTGGGTGTGACTTATCTAGATGATGATGCATACCTTACATTTTTAGCCCTTGCATATAAAGTCTTGCTTTACCATGACCACATTAAAACTCAGCTTTTTCCTCACCAAGAAAGATCAAAGTCGTTTTGGTATCAGCTATACCACATGGAACATATTAAACAGGGAGATTCAGGGCTCCTGGTTGAGCCATACAGATTGTTACCTCTAAAAATGCAAGGTACAGCTTCAATACCCAGAAAAAGGAACTACAATCGGAGCTTCTTTGAAACGTGTGATCCACACACTGATGATAAGAAAGTGCCATCATACAGACCTTGAGCACTCCTGCTCTGGACTCCAGGCATCTCTCCATGTCCACTATGAGGGTGTTGAGAGAGCAGCACTGCTCTGAGAGATGCGCTCTGGTGGTCTTCAGCCTCCCCAAGATCTCGGTCTCTTCTGCTCTCAGGCAATGCAACTGCTGGTCTTTCTCTTGCTCCAGGAAGGACCGTAGTTCTTCAAAGTCACAGGTGATGCGCTTATGACAATTGCGCACTAACTCCTATCAGGGAGAGAATTCACTGGGAGATTATAGAGCATCTCACAGCTGTGTACTGACCCGAGTCAACACCCTCAGGGAAACAAAAAGCCCCTCTTGTCAACTTTTCTTAACCAACCCCACCACTCCAGTTCATGCCAGCTGGATGGGCCTGCTGAAAATGTTTCTACCCCACTCCTCTGAGCTCTTCCCCTTCTTCACTCTGCTTACTCTCAACTCCTTGGGCTTCTTCTCCTCCATGGACATATGCTCTTTCAAATCCTTTGCTTTCCTGCCCAGGTCCTCCAAGCAAGATTGTAGCTTCTCCTGGGGAAGGAAGGGCAAGAGATTCTACTCAGACAAAACAGTCCAAAGGATCTGATGCTAAACCAACCCTTGGATTATAAAGCTTGGATTATACCATTAGAGAATGATATTCCAATTTATCTGACATGTCACTTCATGCAGTTTGCTGTCATGGGGTGTCAGTTATGGATTCCAGTAATCCTTCAGCTATTCAGACTGAATAGCCTGCATCAGGTACTACTTTTTCAAGTTAACACAGTTCTGAACATCTGTGCGTACAGCAGCAATACAAGTTACAATATACCTCTGCCCACAAATTTTAGCTTCTGAACAGCAGCTAAAAGTACAGACAAGGAGTCAAAGTAAGACAGTTATACAGTTTTTTTTTTTTTTAACCTAGGAAGTCAATCACCAGGTAACCTGCTATATGTCTGAATCAAAGAGATTTCTGAATCAAGCCTCAGGAACAGCAGGAATTACTCAGTGGAACATTGGAAATTTTGCTCTAACACTGCTCTGAAAATGACCAAAACTGAATCCTAAGCTGTGATTCCTAAAAATGGACCTGAAAAATGCATCCAACATTTTGGATATAACTTGTGCAGATGCCATTGTTGGGATTCTGTCCAGAATTAAGACGTATAAATTTACATGAATTGGCTATGCCTGAATTCCCAGTATAATTACAGGAGTATTCTAGAAAACTAATCAACTGACCATGCAGCTACTGTAGGGTGAAATGAATAGGTACATTTGTCAAAGGGAATTCTAGTCACCAACAAAGCTAACTCAATTAGTTTAGGAATCCTCAGAGGGCGAACCACATATCACATTGCTGCTGGAATGTTTCTTCAGCTTCAAGCTGGAGAAGCATTGAGCAGTAACATGTTTCTAGTGTCTGAATCTACCACAATTTTGTATGATGTCATCTCAAGCTGTCAATGAATATACATGGAAATATACCTATACCAATATATTCCCACATATATTCATACAGCTGCCTTAGTTCCGGTTCCTGCTTGAAGTAACCAAGAGATTCTAGTTTCATCACTGGACCGCAGAAATGAAACACTGGCCAGAAGTTCTACATCCCTCTTGTACTGGAGGGCCCAGTACTTCACACAGTATTCCAGGCGTGGCCTCACCCGAGCCGAGTACGGGGGCAGGATCACCTCCCTCAACCTGTGGGCAACACTCCTAATGCAGGCCATGATGCCATTGGCCTTCTGGGCTACAAGGGCACATTGCTGACTCATGGTTAACTTGTTTTCAACCATAACTCCCAAATCCCTCTCCATAGAGCTTCTTTACAGCAGGTCAACCTCTAGTCTGTACTGGTGCTTATTCCTCCCCAGATGCAGGACCATGAACTTGCCTTTGCTGAGCCTCATGAGGTCCCCCTCCACCCAGCCCTCCAACCTGTCCAGGTCCCTCTGAATACCACCACAGCATTCTGGTGTGTCAGCTGCTCCACCCATTATTTATTTATTTATATCATCCACAAACTTGCTGATGGTGCACTCTGTCCCCTCATCTAAGTCATTGATGAATAAGTTGAGTAGCACTGGACCAGTACTGACCCTCTTGATACATATCACTGTCCACTGATCTAACCCACACTTCCTGAGCTTCCCTATGAGGATGCTATAGGAAATGGTGTCAAAAGCCTTGCTGAAGTCAAGACAGACAACACCCACTGCTCTCCCCCTCTTCCATCCATCCAGTCATCCCATTGTAGAAGGCTATCAGATTAGTTAAACATGACTTTCCTCAGTAAACCCATACTGACTACTCCTGGTCACCTTTTCCTTGACATGCCTAGAGATGGTCTCCAGAATGAGCTGATCCATCACCTTTTCAGGGATGGAGGTGAGGCTGACTAGCCTGTAGTTTCCTGGCTCCTCCTCCTTGCCCTTTATGAAGGCTAGAGTGATGTTGGTTTTCTTCCAGTTCTCCAGCACCTCTCCTGTTCTTTGTGACCTCTCAAAGATGATAGAGTAGCTGAGCAGTAATGCCTGCTAGTTCCCTCAGCACCTACAGGTGCTTCCCTTTGCGGCCTATAGATTTGTGGGTGTCTACTTTGCCTAGATAACCTCTAATCCAATCCTCCTCAACCGGGGGAAAGTCTTCCTCTCTCCAGATTTTCTGTCATCTTCAGACTCTGTAGTTCACGGGGGTTAGCCTTAGCATGAAAGGCTGAAGTAAAGGCAGAATTTAGTAACTCTACCTTCTCTGTATCCTCCAACACAAAGGCATCCGCCTCATTCAGCAGCAGGCCCACATTTTCCCCAGTCTTCTTTTTGCCGCTGCTGTATTTGTAGAAGCCCTTCTTGGTGTCCTTGACATTTCTTGCTAAATTTAATTCAAATGGGCCTTGACTGTCCTCACCGCATCCCTGCATTCTCTAACAATGTTCCTGTATTCCTCCCAAGTGGTCTGTCCATTCTTCCACATTATATATGCTTTCTTCTTCTGTGTAAGTTTTCCCAAGAGCTCCTTGCCCATCCACGCAGGTCTCCTATCCCCTTTGCTTGACTTCTTTCTTGCAGAGGTGTCCCAATCCTTGAATATCAGTCAGTTCTCCTGGACCTCCTTTCCTTCTAGGGCCCTGGCCAAGGGGATTCCTCCAAGTAAGTCCCTGAAGAGGTCAAAGTAGGCGCTCTCAAAATCCAGGGCACAATCCTACTTCTTGCCCAGCTGCTTCTTCAGAGGATCTTGAATTCCAACATCTCATAGTCACTGCAGCCAAGACTGCCCTCAATCTTCCTCTTTCCAACCAGATCATCTCTGTTTGTTAGCGCAGGTCCAGCAACATTCCTCTCCTCATTGGTTCATTTACCACCTGCCTCAAGAAATTACCTGCAATATTCTGCAGGAACTTCCTGGACTGTCTTCTTGTTGTCTTTCCAGAAGATATTGGGATGGTTAAAGTTCCCTATAAGGACCAAGGCCTGTGATCATGAAGGTAGTCAACTATCACCCTTTTGAGATATTTGCTGCCAAAGTCAAACTGGAAATGCAGTACTTGTTCCCAGACCTTTCTGCTGCATTCCTGTGTTTTAACAAGTATTGATAGGTCTGAACTACCCTACTTCCTTATTTATGATGAGATGGTTAGAAGTTTAAATGCTGGAGTGGAACATCAAGTATCTCAAACCCTGTAAAGGAAATACTTTCTAGCAGTACTTCTGGAAGATCCCATTTGCTTACCTTGTAGTTTTTGAGGACTTCATCTAGGGGCCCTACTGTATGATAGAGATGGCCATGGGAGACTGCACACACAACACACATGGCTTCCTGGTCCTCCTTGCAGAAGAGATTGATGACCTCATGATGCTTGTAGCAGATCTTCTCATTCTGCATCTTTTCCTTGACAAAAGGCAACTGCCTGGCTGTCTCTACTATGCTGGCCAGCTGCCGGTTGGGGTACATGATTTGTTGAACACAAACATGCCGACACGTTGGGCAGCTAAAGTCTTTAGTCACTGGCTTCCAGTATTGGGTGATACAGACTCTACAAAAGCTGTGGCCACAAGGAATCATAACAGGGTCCTGCAGGTGGTCAAGACAAATGGCACAAGTGGTATCTATGTTAAGGACCTCCAGATGACTCAGGGAAGCCATTGATGCTTGCGCTTTGCGATGGGCACGGATGTCAGGAGACAGTTGCAGTACCCTAATACAGGAAAAGTCACCTGGAGAGAAAACAAACAAACAACACACAAAGCAAACAGACAACATACATAGAATCATTATGGTTGGAAAAGACCTTTAAGATCATTGAGTCCAACCATAAACCCTTCAACGCCATGCCTACTAAACCATGCTCCTAAGTGCCTCATTTACATATATACGTTACTCCTCATGTGGACTCAAGGAAGCCTAAGAGTCATGCCTCACATGTTCTCTCCTAGCTTGAGTGAGGAGAGAAGACTAGAGAAGAGACAAGATACATAATCCTGGTTCAGCTCCACTGCCCGTAGTAACAGCTCATTCAGGATCATATCCTGTGCAGCACAGTTCTGCTGCAGTCCAAATAAGAACTTGTAACATAGCAGCTCAGTGTAACTTAGCTCAGTCCTAAGTACCTTTAATTAATCCCCATTCCCTTACATAAGGGAAGTGGGAAGTCAGTGTGGTAAACCATTTTGAATGATATGTATCATTAAAAAAGCACATGTCTTTCAGTCTGACATATATCCCCAAGCTTTGGGATCAGGGACCTACCTCCCTAAGGCAGGAAAGGAAGCCTGCTTTAGGTTGTTCAGTTACTGACCAAGTCAAGCAGTAATTTGAGTAAGGAGCATTTATTAAATTCCCAAACCCTTTCAGGAGAAGGGGTGCTTTCCCCATATCAGAGGTGTTGGAGTTAAAGACAGAATGGAAAGAGCATACATAATAACAAGCATAGTATAGAGTACTGAATATTTCTGCTTTATCATCTAAACAGACTGTTGCTCTTGAGCTCAGTACATGGTAACTAGACACCCAGAGAAACAGAAGTGAGAGGTCCCACTTTTATACATACTCATTGAACCCAGTCTGGAAGAGGCCCTGTTAAAAGACATCACAGGCCTCTAACTTCAGCTCTCTAACTACAGCCCTCACTGTTTACATATTGTACTTACAAGATGAAAAATTTTAATACAAACAAGGTTTTTAACAAAGAAAATATTTCTCATCCAGAGGGTGGCAAAGCACTAGGACGGAAGACTAAAGAGATTGCAAAGTCTTCATACTTGGAGACAGGGGAAACAAAACACTGGACAAGACCCTTAGTACCTTAATTTAATTAGGCCTACTTTGAGCAAAAGACTAAACTAGGAAACCTACAAAGAATTTATCTAGAAAATTAGACTACAATTTCACAGCCCTATAGGTTTCCACTTCAAAAAAAGAAAATGTGTAGCATGGTCAAAAGAACTAAAGAGAAGCAGAGCACCCATAGCCAGAGAGAAAAGAAAAAAATCTAACCGAGTTCACTTTGATAAAACTTTAAAAGCCAGAAACACTGCAAGTTAGCTACTCAATGCATCTAAGTTTTTTTAATAATCTTTTTAAAGAAAACCCTCAAGCTCTTTTTTTTTAAAAAAGTAATATACTTACCAGGTAAACTACTAAGACCTTTTTATTTCAGCAACTAGAAAACAAGTTCCACGCTTTTCCTTTACAGAAGGAAAGAAAAACAATCAAAAAAACACAGCTGTGGTTAAGGATGGCATTTATATAGGAGCAACAGCTGTGGTTCCCACCCACATGCCTTTCCCCTACCTCACCCTATGAAAGGTCTGTTGCAAGTGATGCTAACTTTTGGTTGGGGCTATGTACTCTATGTGGAATATGATGCTGAGGGTAGTCTTGTTTCCAATGGTTAAAATGTCTAGTACTCCAGTATTAGAGCATGCTACTTCTTTCATAGAGTTAGGGAAGAGAATGAGCTCTATTCCTTAGCCTTTATTTGATAGTACAGATTCTTTTCCTTAGGAGCCTACTCTGTAAGGGAAGGAAAAAAATCATTCTTACTAGTAATGCATGAAAGAAGAGACTGAAAAGAGCTCTGACAGAGTTCTCTGATTTCCTTGATACTTTTTTCCTATAAGAGTAGTTGGTGTGCTTTTTCTCCTTGAGAATACCTTTCAAAAAAATCTCTACTGTAAAAACTATACCTAGCTGAAAATTCAGATCTCCTGACTGTGAAGATCTTGATCTGAATTGACTTTTGTAAGAGTTTTCATTCACATAGATTATTGATTAGTATCATCCTTTAGGAGCCTGGAGCCCTACTAAAGTCTGGAAAGCCAAAAAAAAAAAACAAAAAAAAACACAACTTTTTTTCTGTTTGATTTACATGGATTAACCACGTCATTCTGGGTAAGATATTTCTCTGTATTAGTACTGTAAAAATTAAGCCATAATTGTCACATTTCAGTACTTGTTTTACTCTAGAATCTTTATTCCAGGCATATCTGCTGCTTTCAGGTTCTGCAATTCAAAGTAGTTTGGGGGAGGGCAGGGCTGGTTTGGGTGGGCAATTAGTCATACACTTGTTCATCAGATGTCTTACTGCTCCTGGAACACAGCACTAGCTGCAAAAATTGGAGCCAGGTTACCCTCCTGATATCTGTTCCTCCTCTTTGAGAAAAGACTTGTTGCAACCCACACTCCTGCTCTAAATGCATTCTTCATTTTTCTTTATCAGGGTAGTATGGTGGAGGAGGGGAAGGTAACAACCCTCGTATTCTTATAAAGCATTTTCCAAGATGCTTCCCAACTAGGTTATAGAAGATTCAAGATCTTCAAGATCCATCACAACACTCAGCAATGCACCTGTTTGAACTCCACTAGTGCTTAATGGCTGAATAACAATTTGCTCTATCCCTTAGTGGTAACAAGGGATTGTTACCTGTCCTGCAAATTCCTACAAGGTCAATCTGTGTGTTTCCATGTGTCAGAGGGCAGAAATCTAAAGGTTGGCATCCTAGTGGTGGCAACTGGACATATAAATCCTACATTTAAAAAGGACTGATGAAATGAAAATATTTATGATTTTAAGGATTAGTTATCAGATCTCTCTCCTTTCCCTGCATATTCCTTGTATATTTCTTGGGATGTTGCAGGAGTTCCCTGTGTCTTCCAGACCATTTTGTTGACGTTAGAAGAAATAGTGCAAAATTCTTTGACTGCGAAATCAACATCACCTTCTGACCATGGGATGGTCAGAAGTACAAGTTTATTGTCCTGTTCCAGGCTTTGATGATCAGATTCTGAAATAATCAATAGACACCCACAAGCAGCTCTATTAATATGATCTTCTTTAGCTTATATTTCTCTTTTCTCTCTTTCCTTCCCACTCATGCTTTCCCTTTTGACTCCTCTTTTGCTGGTGTTACACCTCTATTTCATATTTATGCAATTACACTGGTAACTGCAGTCTTACGGAGCAACTTTGGTAAGACAGCAAACCTATTTCACTGTCTTTCAAAATTTTTCACCTATGGGGAATTCCTGGCACGCTTATTTTACTCTCTGCGTTGTCCATCAGTTTCTGTTAGTGTAACATCAGGGCGTGGATAGGGCATTTGCCTCTATACACTGCTCCACCTGAAGGTATTATCAAGAGAAACCACCCCATTCCCTTCTCTCTTCCCTTTGAGTGCCTCCTTGTGGTGCCTCCTTATATGAATTGCTGCTATTGGGATGGGAGACTGACTCTACTCGTCGTTAATCATGAACGTGCAAGTAGCTGCAGTCTGACCTGGCATGGATGACACCACCATGACCTTTTAGAGGCAGTACAGCATGTACGTGTTAAAACGCTATCAGTTACACTTCATTAAGAGTAATAGCCCATGCAGAAAGTTCTGATTCTTTGGTTCTGATGCATGCTCATGTCCCTGCAGGCCTGGGTAGTCCTCTGATTGAAAGGTGATACTGCAGTGTAGAAAATCAGACCAAGGCCACTTCCTGATTATCAGAAGTCAGTTTCAGTTCAATGCGATTTGTCACATCAGCTGGTGTTAAGTGTTTATAAATCCTTCGGCAATTGGTGTTCCATTTTCCAGACAATGCCCGTGCTACTTTCCCATCACACCCAACCACTTCCAGTAAATTATATGCTGCAGTGAGGCATACACCTTCTCTGATTAGTTTTTTAAACCACTCCTCTTCTTTTCCTGCTTTATTTAGTTCCTGATCAGATACTGGTCTGATATGCACTTATACTCACCCATATGGCCTGGATGCAGTTTGGATTAACAGATCAAAATAACCACTGGGTGATTCCAAGTGGGATTTGGAAGCCTACTGAGGTGGCATTTGGTACCCCTTGGGTACTGTGTTTGCTACCTCCATTTCACTTTTTTCCATTCTTGTTCTGTTTGCTGCATGGTAGCAATCTCCAAAGGTAGATACAGTGAAGTACCTCTGATAATGCCTGCACTGATGATGCCTGATTATGACTTAAAAAAGCTGGATGAAGGCCAACTAGGTTTATTCCCAATGGCTGCCACTAAGCTATGCACCATCCAGGTTTATAGAACCCCATTACGATATCATTAAGAAATGTGCAGAGTCTAGATATTGCTGATGCACTGATGCTGGGTAGAAGCCAATCATCTTTTATGTACCAAACTCAGTTGTTTTGGTCTGCTGCTGCTAGCTGCTTTCTTTGTTTTAAGGCTTCCATTTTAAACCATGTTTATGTCAGATTATGTCATGATCTGTTATTTTCCTCGCTAATGTCCTGAAGTTGCTGTGCTGGGGTGGCATGGTAATCTCCTCTTGGAATTGGGCTATCCTATTGGGATATATGAGGAGGTGGTAGTGGTTGGGTGGGCTGCAGTTGCCATTCCTGCCTGGGTTGTTGGGGAGCACTGAGAACAGGGATGTACAACGATCCAATCTCCCCAGGTACACATCTTCTTACATACAGGAAAAAATCTGAAAAAAAGAGGGGCTCATTCTCACCCACCATCTAGCCTGAAGGTTCTCCATGCCATCAAGCACCAGTCTCTGTTTTTATTGTGTATGTTCTTGACTTCTTTGATTTAATATGCTGGGCCTATTACCTTCAAGTGGTTTTCTTCTTCCTAAAGTTCACCCTGTTGGACTCCCTATGCCAGGTCATTAAGAAGGCAGGCCCCTACCACAAGAACAGCAAGCACCTCCTTTATCACATCTCCTGCTGTAAATAAGGATTTGCTTCCCCTCCCAATAATGATGCATTCATGTGACTTCTTTGGGTAAGATTTTATTTGGAACAAGTGCCCACAACATAGATCAATTGGCCCACGTTTATCCGCTACCAGAGAGAACCTTCCCGTCATATTATGGAGAAGGACCAATACTCCAGGGGATAGTATATTTGTTGGTCTCTTGCATTAAACTTAGCATGAGGATTTCACTTTATGAAGCCCAGAAGCACTTTATGAAGCCCTAATGGGCTTTGAAAGGGATGTGAGATGATCTGCTTTTTCCTGGAAGTCCATCTCTTCGTTCACCTACCATTGCAGGTACTACCTGGACAACTGAAACACAGGAGTTGCTGGAGCATATGTAATAATTGGCAGCTTGTAACCACCACATAAGGTCATCTGGCATGAAAGTGTGTTATCATGTAACATATGAACTGGAAGTACGTGTTGCTAAAACTTAGCGTGAATGGGCATAAAGGAATCCAGAAAGCCTAACTCAGTTTTAGACAGTAAGATATATACAGTAAGATTCTTGACTTTAAGTTGCATCCTACTATCTTTGACTTCCAGATAAAAAAAGAATGTGTTTAATTATTTTCAGTGGACTTGTCTGACAATATCCGTAGTTGCATCTACAGCTCACACCATGAGATGAGATGTGAGGTACTACTACGTTACAGAGTGCATTGCCATTGAACTAGTGACTGTCACCACCTGAGGCATTTTCTAAGGACTGCTGCGGATACATGTCTCTCTTCAGGGTGTGGGGAAAAAAGAAGCCCTGCAATAGGAAGGGGTTTACTTAGCCTTTTTCAGAAAAGATAGATGCAGCAACAGGCAGTCTTGGATATTGCTCCCCTTTCCTTTTTCTTTGGCAGGGGAGAGCCCACCTACCTGCATATTTAATTCACCTTTTTCAAGAATAAGAACACATCAATTCCTCTCCGTTCTACTTAGAGTTCTGAATCTCTGTTGTTTTCTTCGAGAGCAATACAGCCTTGCTATTGTCCTTCGAAGGGCTTCTTTGACCTCCTTGTTCCTCAAGCTGTAAATCACAGGGTTCAGCATGGGAATTACCAGGGTATAAAACACAGAGATGATCTTGTCATTCTCCACAGCGTATTTTGAAGTGGGTCTTAAGTACATGAAGGAGCCTGTCCCATAGAACATGGTAACGCCAGTCACATGGGAAGCACAGGTGGAGAAAGCTTTGCATCTGCCTTTCGACGATTTAATCTTGTGGATGGTGACCCCGATGCATATGTAGGATATGACAATGAGGAGGATAGTGGAGGTGACAAGCACAGTAGCGCAGGTGAAATGGACAAGGTCAGTGATGTAAGTGTCAGAGCAGGAGAGTTTCAGGATGGGGGGCACATCACAGAAGAAATGGTTGATGATATTGGAATTGCAGAAGGGTAAGCGGAATATAAATGTCGTCTGAACAGTTGCATTCACACAGCTCATGAAGTAGGATCCACATACAAGGAGCATGCAAAACCTCCTGGACATGATGACAGGGTAAAGCAAGGGCTTGCAGATGGCTATGAAGCGGTCATAGGCCATCACGGCCAGGAGGTAGCATTCTCCTGTCACTGCAATGCAGAACAGGAAGAGCTGAGATGCACATGCTCTATATGATATGACTTTTGTCTCTGCCACAAAAGTCATCAGAGTGCTGGGAATAATGATGGTAGAGTAGCTGACATCTAAAAAGGAAAGGCTGCTGATGAAGAAATACATGGGGGTGTGGAGTCTGGCATTGATCCGGATGAGCACAATCATCCCTAGATTTCCCACTAGGGTGAACAAATAGATCAACAGAAACACCATGAAGAGGAGGACCTGAAACTCCAGGTTGTCTGTGAAGCCCAATAAGATAAATTCCGTCACCATGGTGTGATTTCCTTCTGCCATCTATCACGGGTGAGAAAGCCAGGGTTACACTAAAGCAAAGACAGGTACCTGTCAGAATGGCACCTGTCAGAAAGGTACCTGTCAGAATGCCAGCATGGCTCTAGTCAAGTTAACAGAGGATGAAGGTTTAATATTACATGTATCTTCCTATTCACATTTTTCAAGTTTTGACCTCAATTATCTCAGAGATATTTCCTGCCATTCAAAGTATGTATTCTTTCTGTGTACTTTGGAGGATCACAGGTTAATAAATGACACCTGTTCCTGCAAACTTCAATACTTTTCCCTCCCCCAATTTTTTTTTCATTTTTAATAGAAATAATCTAGGTAGTTAACTTTGTACATTGATGAGATATAAACACTTGCTAAAAAAAAAAAAAAATCGAGATGAGGCGCAAATAAGTCTGTAGATTACCGCTATCCCAAAATTATATTTCGGGGCAACTGTGGTAAGCAGCAAGCAAAAGCCAGTAGCTTGGAAAAGCTGACCCATGAGCACTAATTAAAGTTCAGCTTGAAAAAGAGCAGGGCTTATGGTCTATTGTTGCTTCTATAAATCTGAAACTAATGTAAAAAATATAATCGGTGACTTCTCAAGCAGGTTCTGTTTCAGAGGTCTAGAAATAATCTTTCTGTGGCCATGAATAGAAAATTATGAAGAAACTTGGAATTACTGGTCTGTCCATTTTTCTTTTTCCAAGAAAGAAAGCACTCCACCAATGTGATTCCTAGAACCTTGTGCTGAATTTGTTCTTTAAACTCTCTGGTAGCTCTCTTTTCATACAATACCTAGCCACTTGGTTTTTCTTAAAAAATAGTTATTAATCAGTTTTCTCCTAAATGTTAATCCAAATTTTCCCATTGAAATTTAAGTGAAAAACCTTTTATGCCCACTCATTGTAGCATAAGAAACAAATTTTCCTTTTTCATTCTTTTCATGTTTTTCCTCCACTGGTTTTAGCATAGTTTTCATGCCCTTTTTTTTTTTTAAAAGTCTATAGCTTTTCCAAGACTGTATCCAGTAAGGTGTTAGCTTATTTTATAATTTGTTATCTTCAGTCAAAGAGTTTGTTTTCATGATAATTATGCCAAATGAAATTTCAGTGAAATGAGAAGCATCTGCTTTGAAAGCTCCTAAATTGAGCTCTTATAGTATGGGAAAAAAAAAAAAAAACCCCAGGGATTATTTTCAGGAATACCTGTATTGATAGATGGGCAGGGAGGTGGGTGAAAGGGATTTCCCACTTCCCTCACAAACTCATCCTCCATATTCCGGCTTACCAATAGAACTTATTTTTGTGACCCACTATTCTTACCTTACCACTCATGTCTTAGCATGCTGAGAGCGTTAATGTTGCTTCTCTTGTCAGTGAAGTCCCCTATAAAAGAAGGAAAGAGAGAGAGGAAGAAAATCATGCAGCTTTGACTGCAAGATGCACAATCTCCATTGGCTCCAAATAAGAAGCATTTTCTGTTCTCTAAAACTGAAAGTGTATCTTGAGCTGAGCTAGAGACAGACTTTACTTGTGGGAGAGAAAGTCACTTGCTCTTTGTCAGAAAGGAGGTATTTTAGCAATTAACTTGCACTTCCATATACTTATGTTCTTTTTGGGTGTAGAATTCCTAGTTGGCTGCAGCATCTGAAAACAAGGCAAGGCACACTGGGACAATTAAAATATCCATTTTGCTCCCAGTGGAGATAATCTGTCCTCTCTTCTTGTGTAGTTATGCAAATCAACCTTCTTCCTCATATTTTTGAAAAGATTTTTTTTTCCTGTTTCTATGTGGTCTTCTGCATTATTTTTCTCTTTTTTTTTCTGTTATATAGTAATGCATGTCATCATGGACCAAAAAAAGATCATTTTCCACACCAGGGAGGGAAGCACAGGGAATGAGAAAAAAAATATGCTTCTATTCAGTACAGGAGAAGATCCTTTCCACAGACTGCTCTGAAGCAGACCAGTAATTTCAGTCACATCAACCTGTCTTCTTGTTCTGAGGCTCTAGGCTATGCAGGGGTGAATTAAACCCCTAAAGAAAAGTGATACTTAGAGATTGTTTGCATTCTGGGAAGGCCTTTTCTCAAGCTCTCCGTTAACATCAGACTTGTGCTTCAGCCATTCTGAAACACATTAAGACGCACAAATCTCCTTCCAATACTTTCTCTTCACATTGACTTCTGTATTGGGATGCCCCACCGACACGTGAAATATGGCAACAAATTAATTCAAGGCACAAACTAATGTTCTTCTAAGATGCTTTAGTTAAAACAACTATGTATTTGCCAAGGTCTTTTCTTATTCACCAAGGGATATGCTTATGTGTAACTAAATCAAACATCTTGCCTAGATAAGTCCATGTTCAAGGAATAATCTTCTTATCCAGTCCAAGAAAAATAAACCCCCAGAGCTTTCTGTTTCTTAATTTCTCTGAATGGCTCAATTTAATGGAACGTTTGCTGAGCTAAATATCTTCGGACTTGAAGAGAGAAAAAATATTGACACTCGAGATTAAAAGATCAAGTTTCTCATGGTTAAATAAAGAGCTGCATAGATTCTGTGAGAGGGAAATTAATCCACATAACTGGCAGAAACCAGCAAAGAGTGTATTCTTCTGAAACGCAAAGTCCATAGATTGCCAAGTTAACTTACAGAAGATACTGTGAAGCTCCCAGGATTAATGTGCTGTCATCCCTTATGGAAGTACTAATGGTATAAGGGAAAGTAGATTTGAAGTTCTGGAGTCAAAGTTTACAGAATCTCAGACAGAATGGTTAAGGTTGGAAGGGATCTCTAGAGGTCATCTAGTCCACCTCCTCTGCTCAAGCAGGGACACCTAAAGCACGTTGCAAAAAGCTGCATTCAGCCAGGTTTTCAATACTCCAAAGGAGATTCCACAACCTCTCTGGGTAGCCTGTTCCAATGCTCTGTCACCCTAACAAGAAAAACCTTCTTCCTCATACGCAGATCAAACTTCCTGTGTTTCAGTTTGTAACCATTAGCCCTTGTTCTGTCACCACCTGCACTGACCCTGCACTGGTCACCACCAAGAAAAGTTTGGTCCCATCCTCTTTATATCCTCTCCTCAGGTATTACTTATTGATAGGATTCCCTCTCAGTCTTCTCCAGGCTAAACAGGCCTAACTCACTTAGTCTTTCCTCATAAGAGAGATGCTCGAGTCCCTTAATCATCTTTGTCACTCTACCCTGGACCCTCTTGAGTAGGTCCATGTCCCTCTTGTGCTGGGGAGTGCAGAACTGCAGCCAGGTGTGGCCTCACCAGAGCTGAGCAGAGGGGCAGGATCACCTCCCTCAACCCGCTGGCAACGTTCCTCCTGATGCAGCCAGGATCCCATTGGCCTTCTTGGCCATGAGGGCACATTGCTGGCTCATGGTTAATTTGTCAACCAGAATTCCCAAATCTCTCTCCACAGAGCTGCTTTCCAGCAGGTCAACCTCTAGTCTGTACTGGTGTCTGGGGTTATTCCTCACCAGGTGCAGGACCCTGCACTGCCCTTGTTGAACCTCATGAGGTTCTTCTCTGCCCAGCTCTCCAACCTGTCCAGGTCCCCCTGAATGGCAGCGCAGCCCTTGGGAGTGTCAGCCACTCCACTCAGTTTTGTGTCATCTGCAAACTTGCTGAGGACGCACTCTGTCCTCTCATCCAAGTCATAAATAGTTTAGGCTCAACATAAAGAGTTTAGGCTCATGGCATTGCAGATGAAGGCATGGATTTTTTTGGTTCCACTTTCTAAAATGCACTTAGCACCTGCCCCGGGTACAGTGAATTCGTAGAATGGAACTGATGATATACAGATGACATCCAAGTGAGGATGACTAGAACAGTGCTCAACCCTGCTACTGCAGAAAAGACCACGTGCACCATGTGAGCAAAGCGCCTATCAGAGCAGGAAAGTTTCTGCAAGGGAAGGATGTCACAAAAGAAGTGGTCAATGACACTGGGGCCACAAAAGGATAGGCTGAACAATGAAGCTGTGTGGGCAACTGCATTAATGCAACTACCTAAGTATGATGCAGAAGCCAACTGAACACGAAGTTTCCTGGATGTAAGGACTACGTACCGCAGTGGCTCACAAACAGATATGAACCGATCGTAAACCATCACAGCCTGGAGCAAAACCTCAGCATTTATGGAAAAAGAGTGAAGAAAAAATTGTGTGGCACAACCAGCAAATGAAATTACTTTCTTCTCTGCTAATAGATTCACCATCGTCTGTGGGGCGATCACAGAGGAGTAAGTGATATCAACAAAGGACAAGTTACAGAGGAAAAAGTCTGCACATGGGAATGTGCAGACAAGGCTCAATTCTGATTAATGTGATGATGGTGACATTTCCCACCAGACTCACAATGTAGATAAGGGGCAACAGCATAAAGAGGAGGACTTGCATCTGAGGGTTGTCTGTGAAGCCCCGAAGAATGAACTTGGGTACCCCAGTAATATTTCCTTCCACCATTTATTCCAGCTGCACTTTTTGATGCTGAAGGGTATAAAATACATACATTTAACAAAAAAAAACCAAAACAATCCCTAGCACCCAGAAAGTTATAAAATAAATAAACAATAACCCCAAACCAAGGTATAACTTTTTTTTTTCTCCAAGTAGGTTAAATGAATAAGAGGTTTTGAGATCTCTTGTAATTTTAACATTTCTTAATAAGGGCACACTGAAGGTTGAGTCTGTTAACTATTCCCATGTTTTTGGGGTGGAATTCATGTGACCAAATAAAGATATCTACAGATGAATATTCCTCTACATTTACTCTGTTATTAAGGGCAATGAAAGAGCACTTTCAGAAAGCAGTTAATTTCATCCAGAAGCAGATATTTAAAAGAGGTCAGAAGACTCCTCTTATTAACTACCTAAGACTTTCCCCTTCCAGCCATGTAAGCATATAGTGAGACCTCAGTATCAAATGACTGTAAAGTAGGAATTTGAATCTGGAAAAAAAGTTATCTGACATAATCAAGTATAAACC